TGTGTGTGTGTGTGTGTTATTGTAATATTTATATACTAGCAACTATTTTCTGTAGCCTAGTATGTTTTTTAAAGATGTGGCCTTTGCCTTCTACTTGGAAGATTGTAAAATGGGGTTAATTTTTAAACATCCTGTGCATTAGATGTAGAATATTTTGACAATTGATATTAAACCAGTTGTATATAGAAGATGATAAAATTTAACTGCTTCACAAAAAGAGATCTTGGAATTGTAAGCAGTTAGAGGTTGACAGTGATTTAAGAGTGACTGTTTGGGATCCACCCATCATGCTTGTTCTCCAGAACAGGGTTTTACACCTCAGGCTATTTTAATTGGGATGCATTTGTCTTATAGCGGTGTAATGTGGTGATCCTTACTAGATTATCCTAAAAGATTTTAAATAATTTAACACGAGACTATTAAATCGGAAGTATTACTGTGATGAAGTCTAGATGTGAAATGGGTTTGGGGTTTAGAATAAGTGAGGTAATCTACTTGAACGAGACTTGACACTGCTAGGAAACAGGTATTTGTGTCTTTCCTAAAACTATATCCAGTGCTATATAATATATTGTCATATAGTCTACCTCTGGTTTCTTACATTTCTTTTCGATTATGATTAAAGTCAGCAGAATAGACATCACTTTTGAAAGATTAAAAATTCACGAATGGCTTTTAAGAATACCACATTCTGTTTTTTTTTTTTTCTTCTGTCAGATTTTCCTCTGCCTTTTATGATAGATCATTGCTTGAACAACTTTTTCTTGAATGTTTGTAGTGGGCCTAAACTCACCATTTTGGTAGAAAGTACCTAACAATTGAGCTTAAGGAAGTAAATGTAAGCAAAATATGAGTGACCATGGCCAGAGACTGGATTCAGATTATCTTGAATGACACACCAAGTTGTGGAAGCAGTTACATGAACTATATTACACCCACAGAACAAAGACCATATATCAAATACATGTACCACCTATGCCGATGAGGGCATTATGTACACAGCCTAGATAAACTGGGTAAATCTTGTCTGAGTTTCAGATGTTACAACATTGTTTACTTTAAAATACATAAAGGTGGCAGGTGCTTGAGAGATGCCTCAGCAGTTAAGAGCCTGGACTGTTCTTTCAGAGGGCCTGAGTAAGTGGCTCTCAAAAGTGTGATTCCAGTTCCAGGGTATGTAATGCCTGTGGCTTCTGCTGGAACCTGCGTGATCATGCACATACCCACATCCATGTAGTTAAATCTTAAGCAAAGGCCAGATGTTTGCAAAGCTTACTAACAAGTTAGACCTAATATTCCTCATGAGGTTAAACCAAAACCAGATTGGATTTTGAAAGGATGTATAGTCTAGGCTAACACCAGCCAGTCATTTGGGCCGAGGGTTTGAGCTAACGGGGTGAGTCATTCCGGTCCACCTCGGCCTGGAGCTGCGCCCAGCCGACCAGCCTGGGTCATCCCAGCGGGGCGGGCGGAGGCGGAGACGGAGGCTGAGCGGCTCGGAAGCCCATACGCTCGGCCGTGTCGCGCGGAGCCGGCGGCCATGGCTGGAAGCGAGCCCCGCGGAGCCGGCTCATCGCCGCCCGCCAGCGACTGGGGCCGCCTGGAGGCCGCCATCCTGAGCGGCTGGAGGACCTTCTGGCATTCGGTGGACAAGGAGCGGGCGACGCCGACAGCCTCCCGGAAGGAGGCAGCAGAGGAGACGAGCGCGCTGACGCGGCTGCCGGTGAGCCGAGGCCGCAGGCCGCGCACAGGGACCGCCGCAGCACCGGGGCCTGGGCCGGCAGGGCAGCCACTTCCGGGTGTGTGCTCGCCTGGAGGTGAAGTGGCCAGGATCACCTTGATGGTGACTCTTGGTATCCCCGGGCCAGCCATGGTCGCGCCACAACACACACTAATGACCAGCAAGATCACCCACAGGTTGTCAGTCGTCCAAATAGGATGTCTTGGAATCTGATAAAGGACGTGGGTTAACTTGGACAGCATTCAGTCCCAGGTTCAATGTATTCCAGTTAGGGGGTCGCCCAGAGCAAGCAACTCAGATATATCCTAAGCCACAAAACTGCCATGTAATTGAAAATCAATGAAGTTACAAGTACTTCAAGTTAGCACAGGCTACAAAGAGAATGCATGTAATTTAAAGTTTCAGAGAAACATAAAATAAATGAAGAGATTATACATTGTTGATGGCAATTCCTTTATCTCCCTTAGATTATTGGTACATCCCACTGACATTCATTCTAAATGAAAACCCCAGGCTTAGGGTACCTCCAAGCTTCTCTCCTGTGTGGTCTGAACTGATTAATACACTAGAGAAATTTCAAATGACAGATTCACACGCTTCCATTTGATCTAGTGATAAAATCAGAAAAAAAATCTCCACTTGATACATATTAATTTGAAGAATTAAGATATTAACTGGTACATCAACATACTCATGGGAAGAAATTAAAGGAACTGGATATTTTGCTTGAAAAATAGAATAGCAGAGCTTGAGTTTTTAACATTTCAGATGTGTTAGGAATGAAAATGTTTAGTTTTGATTTTTCTATAGATGGAGGGATAATAATATAGACCTAGGTGTTGTAAAGAACCAATCATTCACGTGACCTTTAGTATAACAGTTCTTTATTGATTAGGTTACCAAACAGTTTCCCCAGACAAATGATTCTTTTATGTGCTGCTTGCCTCTGTTTCAGATTGATGTACAGCTGTATATTTTGTCATTTCTTTCACCCCACGATCTGTGCCAGTTGGGGAGTACAGATCATTACTGGAACAAAACTGTAAGAGACCCAATTCTCTGGAGATACTTCCTGTTTCGGGACCTCCCTTCTTGGTCTTCTGTTGATTGGAAGTCACTTCCAGATCTAGAGATCTTAAAAAAGCCCATATCTGAAGTCACCGACAGCACATGTTTTGATTACATGGAGGTGTAAGTATCTATTTCTGTGACTTGACAAGAGATATTAAACTCTAAATAGTTCACATTAGTTCTGGCCCTGATATTAACTTGCTGCATAGGATTTGTCTGAATGCATCCTTGTTAAAATTAGGGGTTAAACTAATTGACTTTTTTTCCATAGGACCCTTACAGTTTTAAGCTTTTATTATTTTCCTGTGTTGACTAACCATTATTTGATTAATTATATGTGGTACAGTAGACAAGAAAAAAATTTTTAAAATGTCTCATAATATTTATAGTTTTTTTCCATTTTGTTAAATTGTAAATGCATATTCATCATCAGAGAAGGAATGTCCAGAGACCAGGAAAAAGTTATTTTTGGTGGGGAAGAAGACTGTTTTTAAGACTATATGAAATGAGGTTTTTTTTTTTGATTACTTGAAAGCTTCCAAGTTTCTTGTATATCACGTGTACATGAGAAAATTACTTTTACTGAGCAAATGCTACACATTGGATTCTATGCGTGTCTACTCCTTCTGTCCTTGTTCAACCTGAAGATTTTTATCTTCATGTTAAGGACATACAGGGCCAGAGAAGTTATATGGTTTGCATATGGTATAGTGTATAAAGGGTTGGTCAATATTCTTGTGTTCCCTCAGAATATGTCACTGTATATAGGTAAAACTTGATTTTTTGTGAACTCCACATTTAAAGCATGATAAAACAAATTCAAAGAATCTTTGTCCTTTGGTTCTAAGAATTGCTTTACTGTGATTCATACAGGATTTTTACCCCTCTGCTTTGTTACTCAGCCTCTCTGACCCAGACGCTAGCTATCATGTCAGATAACAGGAGACGACTAGATCAAAATATGTATATCTTTTTAGATAATCTCAAATGCATCTGACATTTCATTTTTAAAATTACGTTTATTTATTACTTATTGTGTGTGTGTGTGAGTGGGCACACACACTACATGCCACATATGAAGGCCAGAGGACAACCTTTTGGAGTCCATTCTCCCCTCCATATGGTTCCCCAGGATCGAACTCGGGTCATCAGAATTGGCGACAAACCCCTGTACCTGCTGAACCATCATGGTTTCTTTCACATGATTTTTATTTTGCTAATTTTCAGCGAGGTCTAGTTGGCCTCCCTGTGTATTTATTTAGTATTTTGAATCAACTATTATGTGGAGACTATTAAAGGGGTGTTTAAGAAGCTTAATATTAGTGGCTTTAGTAATATCTTTAAATTTCTGGGATTTAACTCTAAGTATCTATAGTCTATCTTTATTATGGGGGTTCTCAGTCTTAACATTATTGACATTTTGGACCAGTTTGCAGGGACTGTCCTGGAAGTTGTAGAATGTGTAGTGACATCTATGTTTCTACTAAGTCGATGTTAGTATCATAGCCTTCTCCCCAGGTGTGAACATAGAATTTTTCAGACATTACCACATAGTATGGGATAAAGAAAATAAAATCTTCCTCAGGAAGAGAACAGTTACTATTCTATATAATTAGTTTGAGCTATTCAAGCAGACATTAGAACACGTGTTTCATGAAAGAAACTAAATAAAAGATAAGAAAGTAAATCCTGTCTTCCTTAGGGAGGGTTCTGCAGCTATACAAACACCCCCACTCTCTAGCACCTTGTGTTTTTCCTTGTCTCGGCTCTCTACATACGTATTATCATGGTATCTATACTGTACTGTCTGGGGTGGGGTTAAAACTATAATCTTTATGTTACCATGTCTTACAGAGGACTCAATAAATGATATATTCTCAAATGAACAACAAGTTAAATGTTTTCTATTTTATTTTCTAATTGTGACAATTTTATGCAGTTATAAAATGTGCTGTCCATACACAAGAAGAGCCTTGAAAGCCAGCCGTCCTATGTACGGAGCGGTTTCCTCTTTCTTGCACTCACTGATCACTCAGAATGAACCCCGGTTTGCTATGTTTGGACCAGGTTTGGAAGAACTGAACACATCCTTGGTGTTGAGTTTGATGTCTTCTGAGGACCTCTGCCCAACTGCTGGTTTACCTCACAGACAGATTGATGGTAATTTTCATGTTAATATAAAATACATACTAATGACAATATTTGGAGCTTGACATTAGTGTTAAAGAGATAGACATTTAAAAGTTAAATCTTGTAATGAAATATAGAAATTGGTGAATAGGCCCCTGGCCCTACTAAATGGGGAAAAATTAGTATAAGAAGTACTTTTTTCTTAATTTTTCAAGTTTTTATAATTTAGAATCTAATAATATGTTAAAAATAAACTTCAATAGACCAGAGCATGTCTACTATAAGAGAAATTTACCAAGAAAACGACTGAATATCGATTTGAAAATTATTTTTATATATATTGGGAATTTTTTAAAAGACCTATATTATTACCTCTCCTGTACAGAAAAAGTCCACGAAACAGCTTGTGACCTTTCAGTGAGGTGGGAATGTATCATTAATATAGAACATTAAGATATGCTTTACTCATTGTATAGATACAGAGATTTGGAACAAATCTGGGTCTTCCACAAAAGCCAATAGATCTAAGTGAGGTTGCAGGCAGATACTTAGGTGATTAGAGTGTATGATCAGTTAGTTTTTTAATACAAAGATAACAACCAAAGAAGGCTGCACAGTGAAGAGGATTCCTCCTCAGACTCTTCAGGCTTAGCAGATATATATCCTTAAGACAATAAGAAAAGAAGTACAGCGTTCTGAATGTTTAGGACTCAGTTGAAGTATCTCTAACTCCACTCTAGAAAGAGTGGAGCTTGGTAAGCGATGACAACAACATGTGGGGTGCCTAACCAAACTTTTATTTTTAGAATGTTTATTTTGGCTCCTGAGTAAAAAAACTGACTAGAAGAGACGGAAGAAGCTGCTGTAATATATGATTTAAAAAAAAGAAAACATAGAAGGGATCACTGGATGAAAGATAATGAATACTGAGGATGAAGCTTGATGCAATTAAATAAGGATTGTGTAATAAGGATAGCTGCAGGCCTCTGCCTTGGGCTTTATGTTGGGTAGAAAACCATTCACTAGGGTAAGGAATCACCAGAGGACAAGGACTTTTGTGGTTGTTGCTTTTGGTGGCAGGAGCTAGAGATGTAATTTGCTGACACTGATAACTGCAGGGTGTATAAACAAAGATGAGTGTTGTAAGCAATCCAATTGACAAGGGTGAGGACCTTGTCAGTTTTATTTTGGTTTGTATACGTCATACCAGGGGTATCATAGGTCCCACACTATGGTGATTTGAGTGAGAATGGCCTTCACAGGGTTAAATACTCAAATACTTGGCCCGGAGTTGGTGAAACTGTTTGGTAAGTATTATGAAGTGTGGCCTTGTTAGAGGAGGCACATCACTGAGGGAAGACTTTGAGGTTTATAACACTCACACACCCAGTTAGCTTCCTCTGTGCCTTGTGCTTGTAGCTCAGATATAAGCTCTCAGCAACTGCTTCAGCCTATCAGCTTGTTGTATTCCTCACTGCCATGATGGTCATGGACTCTAGTCCTCTGGAATCATGAGCTCTCAGATTAAATCCTTTCTTTGCCTTGATTATAGTGTTTTGTCACAGTAATAGGAAAGTAAGAAAGATTACTATGGCATGTGCACATTTAATAAATTAATGACTTATAGATGATGTGTTCACATCCAAAGAATTAACAACTAGGCATCATAAGCAGTTCACATGGACCTGGAAGTTTACGAGGATGGAGAAGAAGACAGGCAGCTGCAGGCTGAAGTCTACAGTGGGAAGAGAGATGATTATGGAGGACAAAGTTGAGGAAGGAGAGACTGCTCTCCCAACTGAATGATGTGTTTTTCAGACAGAACTCTTCTAGAGGGTTCTTGAGTCATAGTTTAGACAAGTTGTTGGGATCAGAGAGCATCAGCCCACTTCTTCACCATAGGGCATGAGGAAATGAGCAAGTTTGGTCAATGAGAGTCCTTGGCAAGAGAAGCATGACCTAAGGCAGACCAGTTTCAGTCAAGGGCTTAGTGTAAGGCAACACTTCTGGAAAAGCCAGAGCACATGAAGAAATTTCTTAATTATGAAATGGCATCCACTTTCCCCTTACAGAGACTTAAGTGATTGCTTGAAAATGCCAGTCTACCAGATCAGAGAAGAATAGGGGTTGCATAATAAGTCGGGCTGAGGTTAGATGTGTTGAAAGGATAATTTCTGGATATTTAGACTGATAAAAACAAGGAACAGAAACACTTGATTTCTGTTTCCAAGTACTTCTTGTGAAATATCATGGCTGGAGGAGTAGAGGATCATGTGGCTTGGGATAGTTATAGTTTTAGTACCTATAAGACCAGATCTATAATCGTGTCGCTTAGAATGGTGACATAGGAGGGCATGGCACAGCTTATTTAAGCAGAATTAAAGAATTAGGAGAATGAAGGTTGGAGTTGTCTCTAATGAGGTAAGTAGGGTCAGTCTATACTGGGTTTTTTTGTATGTCTGAAGTCCATTGGCATTGTAGAGAAGAGAAATACTTAGACATGTATCATTAAGCCATGTGTCTGCAATTATGAGAAAGGCTAGTTAAAGCAAAAGGATTTAGAGGACTGGTTAGAAGAGATTACAGATGTCAGGTAGTTAATTTGTACCAAAAAGAGAATGACATTGGAGAGAAGTAGACAGATCAGAAGGACAATTTTGTACCAAGAACTAGAGCTATGGAAGAAAGAAGGATTTTTCCAGAAGGCCAAAAAGAAAAAGACATTGATCATTAACAAAACAACAAACAAACAAACAACAACAACAAACTCAGATGTTAAGAAAGGAACAGCAATGGTGTTGAGTTGAGTCAGACACAAAAGAGTAAGAAGCCAATATTTAGCAATCAAGGGGTATCACATAAGACAAATAATCCTCACAGTCACCCCTAAGAAGTTCATGTTACTTCACTTTTTGTGTCAAAACAGAGTCTCACGAGTCAGTGACTACCATGGCAAGTTTAGGATTCTAACCCACAACACCCTACTTCCAAATTTCAGCATTTGCAGTTTTGACTCAATTTCTGAGGCACTCCCAACGATATGCCACATGTTTATAAACTTCCTAGGGGAAGAATGAGCCCTCACTGAATGTATACATAGAGTTTAAGTCCAGTGGAAACATAAAAGATGGGAATAAATAGAAATAGTTGCCACACCTCAGCTGCTGCTGTGGCATTGCGATGGTGACAGAAGACTGTAGAGCCAACACTCAGTTCTCTCTCCAGAGTCTTTCTGCCTTATGAATCACAGCTGCACACAACTTTTTTGTCTTAGTCACATTGTGTTTTATTCCAAAGTTGCATATAGTTTGCTTGATTCTTTTCCTTTGCCCATTTTTTATTTCACTGGAATTTTTTTTATTACTTATTTACTGTCTTTATTATTGGCTTGTTTGTATAACTGACTTTCTCGTGTAGGTATTGGATCTGGAGTCAATTTCCAGTTGAGCAATCAACATAAATTCAACATCCTGATATTGTATTCCACTACCAGGTAAGGCTAGCTGCCTGGAGGGCTGCCCGAACATCAGCGCTGGCTCACTTTAGTGGGATAGGACTTTTTTATTGTCTTTGTGTAATATATGTTTGCAACTCTTCTTCTTGCAGAAAGGAAAGAGACCGAGCAAGGGAGGAGCACACGAGTACCGTTAACAAAATGTTCAGCCTCCAGAGGGAGGGAGACGAGCAACAGGGGAGCCGCTACAGCGTGATCCCACAGATTCGGAAAGTGTGTGAAGTCGTCGACGGGTTCATCTACGTGGCCAACGCTGAAGCTCATCGACGTAAGCATCCTTTTATCTTCCCTTCGAGGCGCTACTACATCCTTCTTGGCAAAAGATCATCATGTTGTTACACCTTCATAAAAATATCGCAGTTAGATTTTGACTACTGTGATTTTCTGGCCATCACTGCCACTAGTGTTCTCAGCCCTTGTTGTCTCTTAGGATCACATGGCAGATTCCTAGAATGCCATTTTGTCAGCCATAGATTTGCCCAGTATCCTGGACGCCTGTTTTCTATAAGTAACCACAGGGTTCCATACAAGCCAAAGCTTCATTAGCTACATTCTTTTGTTTAGTTCTACATTTTAAAATTACTGATGGTCTCTCTGCCTTTGATGGGCAAAGGAAAAGAATTATTTGTATTTTCAAATAATTTATGCAGATAACTGACAATTTGTTGGTTCATTCTTACCCACATTATAGAGAGGTGTGGGGGGTAGGGATCTTAATTGAGTAGATTAAAGTTAATTAAATCAGTGAGTTGATACTATTCTCCATATACTCTAAATAGTTGTCACTGACAGTGTTGTTTTGGTATGACATTGCTATATCCTTGGACCATGAGCCAGTGTTATAATTTACCCCCAATCCTTTGTGTACATGTTATAATATAAGTATACAATAAATTATTTATTATATATACTGCTTATATATAACACACCTAATAATATAGTTAGTTAGCATGCTGAATTAATTTACAATGAATTTATTTCTCTACCAGTCTGTTAAATCCTGGAGGAAATTAGAAATTCTGGATAAAATTATTCATTAGAACAGAATAAATTGTTTCCTGTTCTTATAGGACTAACCATAAAAGAAAAAGAAAAACTAGAAGCAAAATAAATGGAAGATTTATTTGTTCAGCAAAAAGCTGCTGAGTCATCAGTAGTTGTATTTGCTGGTGGAGATATGGCTGGGAGTTAAAACTGACAGAGTTTACTTTTATCGAATCTTGCAGATCGCTCCCAATAGCTTCCTGTAAAATCTGGAGAAAAAGCAGGGTGTTAGCATAATTCATTACCTAGGTCTCAGGTTCAATCCCAAGAATGGTGGAGAGGGAAAAATACATGAGATACAAAAATAATCTGTACCTATTTTCTGAATCTTTGCCATGTAGCTTTGCTAGATGCCTATTAAAAATGTAGTGGAGGGACAGAAGACCTGAGTCCTTGGTGGACGAGGCGTGTGTTGATTGGCTGTAATAGAGGGAGTGGAGGGCCGCCCTGCTTTCTGTATCATTTGCTCAAAGGAAGCCATAGCTTCCTGTCAAGAGTGATAGGACAAGAAATCCCCCTGCCTCCTGTTCTGGCAGAGACTGCCTGCTACCTTAGAGAACAGTAGAAGCAAACACTCTTTGAGCACAAAGGTCAGGATTCAGCCTGTAGCAAGCTGAATCTGGATTGAAAGAAATCTTTGTTTTCTGATTCCTTATCTGATTAGATGAGATAGATGTCATAAATAAATACAGTCCCAAGAACATTCAGGTGCACCAACTGTTTAAAGTAACCGTGGCTTGGTCATTTTCTATTACACATCCTGCAAGTGTCTGATAACCCTTTTATAGGAAACACCTTTTGACCAGCACAGGACAGAATTCAGGGGTCATGCTGGGACACCAAAAAATGCTTCCACTATTCATGTTCAGGCATATGCTATCCCTAAGACTGAAGCTCTCATGTAAAACAAATGACATTTGTTCTGCCTCAGCCTCCTGATTGTTGGTATTACACGTGTGATCCACCACCCCTGACTGTGGAGAGAATTTGAATTCTCTGTGTTGACAGTAACTACCACAGCAGACACCAAATCCATTCATGATGACTAGTTTAATTAGAATCAATGGGTTAGTGGCCCAGCAGTAACAAGAGCATGCTGGTTTCTGAGGGTCAGTCCTCTTTACTCCAGTCTCTAACCGCTTTTCTATATAAAACACCTAGCACTGAATTTAAAAGATCTGAGACTGAAAAAGAAACCGTGGCTTGTACCTGCAGTCTAAGCTTCGTGGGAGGCTGCTGTGGGGAAATAGCTTCAGAATTTTGTTTACCACAGAATGTCTGTGATCTGGAACTCTGCAGTAAAAGGCAGTCATAGAAAATTTGGATGGGCTGCTCCGGGAGCGAGCCTCCGAGTGTAGCAAAGTGTAGCAATGGGACCTCCGGGAGGAAAGATCAATCGTCCCCGGACGGAGTTGAAAAAGAAGTTGTTCAAGCGCCGCAGGGTACTAAGCAGGGATCAGCGACGGAAGCGCCAGGTGGTCGGGGCTGTGATAGACGAAGGGCTGATTACAAGGCACCACCTCAAGAAGCGGGCGTCCAGTGCTCGTGCCAACATCACGCTGTCTGGGAAGAAGCGCAGGAAACTCTTGCAGCAGATCCGACTTGCCCAGAAAGAAAAAGCAGCCATGGAAGTGGAAGTCCCTTCCAAGTCAACCAGGACTAGTCAGCCACAGCCCAAACGACAAAAGAAGATAAAAGCTCCCCAGGATGTAGATATGGAGGATCTTGGAGATGAGAGCTAAAGTTCCTACATCTTCTACCAGAAGATTCTCAACAGCACCTAGAAGGATTTGGAGGACTTTGGAAAAAAATATTACCATACTTCATTCTCCCAGACACCTCTTCTATGATGGACCATTGACCTCCCCTGGAGGTATATATTAGGAAGGAAGAGACACAGAGACACTGGAGAAGGCCCTCTCTAGCAGTTAGCTTGTTTTATAATAAAGCTTTAGTGCTTTAAAAAAAAAAAAAAAGAAAATTTGGATGATAAACATAGGGCCAATTTTAGGCTCAGATGTAGGAAATAAGACCTTTGAAAGAAAGGGTTATCAGATAGTTGCAGAATGTGTAAGAGAGAATTGTCATGTCACGGATATTTGAAACACCAGGAACATCTGAATGTTATTGCGACTGTGTTTCTTTATAATATATCTACATTTATGTCTTTGAAATACTAATAGAATTTTGTGGTAGAGCAATAGATGAATCCAAGTAATAAAGGCAGTTGTGTTTAAATTCTACTAAAATTTTAACTCCTTTATGTGCTGTTTTAAATATAATTATCTTTAGAGAAATCACAAGTAATCCAAATCATGTATTTTAACTTAAATTCCTTAGGTCACGAATGGCAAGATGAATTTTCTCGTATTATGGCCATGACAGATCCAGCTTTTGGATCTTCAGAAAGACCCATGCTGGTTTTATCTTGTATTTCTCAAGCAGATGTAAAAAGAATGCCTTGTTTTTATTTAGCTCATGAGCTGAGCCTCAGTCGTCTACACCACCCATGGATGGTAAGGTCTTAATTGCTCTGGCAACAAAGAATCTATTTTTAGTGTACTTTCTATTGTATGTGTTCATTCATATATATGGATGATCATGTTTACACGTATGTGTGTTTGCTTGTTTTTTTTTTTTTTATGGTAACAAAATACCCAAGACAGTAACTTAAAAAGAAATAAAGACATATTCTGTCTCAGTTTTTAACTTTTTACTCCCTGATCAGTTGACCTTGACTTTGAGCCTGTGCCAAGGTTCAGAGTATGAGTTCATGACAGAGAAAGCCTCTGTCTTAGAACAAAAAGGGATGAGAAAGAGGAAGGGACTGAGATCCCAATAAGGTCTTCAACGATGACCCCTCACTAGTCACTGCTTCTTGAAAGTTCACCTTTTTCTAACAGCAACTCAGGGTGGGGTCCAAGGCTCTGACACACAGAACCTTAGGGAACTTTAACTGGGAGGATAACATTCATCTTTGAAGTGAACTACCATTTTAATATAAAATTTAAAAGGCTTGATTGACAGGTGCTAATAAATTTGGATTGGCCATCTGTTCTCTATTCACCTCTCCTATTGTAGGAACAGTAAGGCAGTAACTGGGGGTGGTTTTAAGGATGCCACTCTGATGGCTTTCTCAATATCAATGTTAATTATGCTTTACAAATTATAAAAACACAGGTTGTTTTGAGGAGGCAGTGCAGTGGTAAACTACCTACCTAATATGCAGGAGTCACAACCTGCCGATGGTCCCCAACACCACTGCAAATGTACATCTCATAGTCTGGTGCTTTAAATTTTATTTGAATAATGATGTTTTCTTCAAGTGAAAACTGAATTGAAACTTTATAGATAAACTGTTTATAATAGTCTCTGGTGGTCTATTATCTTTTTATTTGTATCTTCTATAATTATTAATAATTTATTTAATTCTTTATTTCGGGACACAGTCTCACTATGTAGCTCTGGCTATTCTGGTTCTTGCTATGTAGACCAGGCTGGCCTCAAGCTCACAGAGATCCACCTGCCTCTGCTTCCTAAGTTCTGGGATTAGATATCTTTGTTCCCCCATCCCCTCCGCCCCGACCAAGCTAAAGGTGTGTTGATTTTGTTTAAAATTCAGAAAATCAACCGTTTATCTTCTGTAATTTTCAAATCATTGTTTTCTATCTTGATTATTTCTGTCTTATAATTTGGTGTTTGTTTTCCCAAACCCACTGAAATACATTATTAGGATGTTTATTTGAAATGTTATTCATTTAATGGGGCTTGGGCCTAAAATATGCTCCTACCCCTGAAATCTTGTGTGTGTGTGTGTGAGAGAGAGAGAGAGTTTTAAAGTAAGTATTTGTTGCTCTAACTTGTTTTTTTTTTTTTTTGTACTGTTTGCCATACCCCATACATTTGGTATTTTTTTTTCTTTCCTTTCCCTTCGTTCCTTCATTCTTTCCTTCCTTCCTTCCTTCCTTCCTCCCTCCCTCCCTTCCTCCTTCCCTTCCTTCCTTCCTTCCTTCCTTCCTTCCTTCCTTTCCTTCTAATTTCTTCAGTGATCCATTGTTTGTTTAGTAGCATGTTGAGTATATGTATTTGTCAATTTGTAACTTTTTATTATTGTTGTTCTTCCAGTTTTATTTTGCTGTATCAATAAAAATACACATGATTTTTTTACTTCATTTATTATTGTTGTTGTTGAAGATTTTTTCATCTAACATATGCTCTATTCTAGAGACTGCTCCAGTATACAATTAAAAAAAAAAGTGTATACTGCAGATCTTGGCCAAATGTTTCTTAAATGTATGCCAAGTCCATTCAGCTTCGGCTAGTTTTACAGTATGTCACATTTATTAGTTGGCTGGTTAGATTGATTCAAAAGTGTTTTAGTTTTTAAAGTGGATTTTTTTGGAGGAATTGTTTTCCTGGATGTACAAGAAGCCCTTCTTTTCTGTTTCCACAGCTGAGTTTTAAGAACTAAGACTAACATTGAGTTAGTTCGAATGTGTAAGAAAATACCGCTTATTTCCATGATTGTTCTAGGTGATAGTACTTGAAAAACTTACTCAGACTTTATTTGAGTCATTTTATTTTATCTCCCTTTAAAAACATAAATGTCTAGAGAAATGTGACTTGTCATAATATTCTGGTTTGAATTGACAGTGTTCCCTTTACCTGCTTGCAGGTCCAGGATACAGAGGCTGAAACTCTGTCTGGTTTTTTGAATGGCATTGAGTGGATTCTTGAAGAAGTAGAATCTAAGCGTGCAAAATGAAGTTCCTTTGGGACCATGGGAAGCCACAGGTCATGGTGTGTGTCTTTCCTGTCCCTTCTGTTCCTGCTTCTCTGGAGGAGGGCTTTATACTGGACAGCTACTACAGCTGGGCTTCTGACACTTTACCATGAATCAATTGCAAGTTTCAACCCTACTGCTTTTCCACAAAATGAACTCTCACATTTTTGATAATTTTATAGTTTCTGTCTTTTTTGAAAATATTAAATTCTGCAAAACAAAATGTCATGGTTCTTTAATTTCTCCTGGTCTCTCTTTTTTGCTATTAAGGTTGCTCTAATAGGAAGTAGTAAGCCTGCTCAGCATGCCATAGGATCTTTTCAGGGACTCACTAATTGCTTATCAGAAAAAAGTTTCTAATTCTCAACAGAAATGCTAATTATGAAAATTTTACTAGAACTGTATTAATGTTTGGCCACAACCTCTATTCTCTTTTGAGAGAATAGACAGAATATTATGTTTATGTTATATCTGTTATTCTTTCAGTGAAAATTCATTTTTTTGTGGAAGTTGTCCTGTTTAAATCATTTTTATTTGTTTTATACTCAAACATGGCAAAGATTTACATGTATAAAGCCATTTCTGCAATTACTTATACTTTGCAGAGGAAATGACCTAGCACCTTACTGAAACTTGGGGATTTTAAAATTATAGTGAAAGAATATAAATATTGCTCTATGATTTATATGTTTATATTTAAATGTATTTTAATATATTTGTTTTGTAGAGAAACTTGTAACATACAGATGATCATATTCTTTCTAAATATTCAGGTGACTGTCACTTCCCTTTTGACCAGGTCCATAGACTGTTTCTATTCAAGATAGAGTTCATAGAGCTCACAGCTGCACTGAACCTCATAAGTCGAGAGAGTTAGATTAACTTGTATAGCAGGATTTTTCTTGAGATAAGACATTTACCGATGATTCTGATGATCTCATGAATATTCCCTCATGAAAGTAGCTCCCAAATTGGCTTTTAAAGATCCTATTTGTTCCTACCTCTTAATGTTATAGAGAGGGGATTGGATTCAACAGGTCCTCCAGAAAGGACAGCTTGTATTAAAATCATAGTCATAGTGTTGGTCTTGGTTTTAGTTGAAGAAATAGAGAAACAGGGAAGTGGGGAAATCTCCCAATAATCTAAGTCCCATATGATGCTATGGGAAGGCATGAGACATGGAAACTGCAAATCCCTTCCCAAGTTAAAAGAGCTATGAGTTATTATACTGTTAACTTAGAAATCAATTTTCTGAAACTGTTGATGTGACTCAGCAGGTAAATACCTAATGCTTTGGGTTAGATCCTATGTTAGTTGCTTTCCTGTTGCTAGGAGAAGACACCCTGGCCAAGGCAACTTATAAAAGAAGCCTTTAACTAGGGGATTCATGATTCCTGCGGGTTAGGGTAGTTAAAATTTCATATCTGGATCCACAAGCATAAGGGAGGGACACAAGCATAAGGGAGGGAGAGGAGAGGAGAGGAGAGGAGAGGAGAGGAGAGGAGAGGAGAGGAGAGAGAGAGAGAGAGAGAGAGAGAGAGAGAGAGAGAGAGAGATTGAGAGCGATAACTGGGAAAAAATGGCTGGCTTTTAAAACCTCAAAATCTACTCCCAGTGACAAACTTTCTCCAACAAAGCCACACCTCCTAACCTTTCCCAAGTAGTTCCATAAACTAGGGATCAAACATTCAAACATATGAGCGTATTGGGACCATTCTCATTTGCTGAGTCCTACATAGTCTTGGAAGGGACAGGATGACATAGTTTTCTGACTCTGGAATAGAGCCTTCAGGATGTAGGTCTCCAATGTGTTGACAATTGCTAGGCATAAGGCTTGTTTGTATAATAATGTACGTATTTTCATGTTCTTCCTTTGGCAAATGCTCTCTCTGTTAAGGTTAACAACTCCATTACAATTAGAAACAGCACCAGTCTGGAAGGCAAGGCTATGTCTATTGTGTTCCTCAGCAAAAATGGTAAACACTATATGACCTTTAGGACAGCCTTAAGGCTGTAGGAAAGAACTCTGAAAACATGAGTTCAAAAATATGCAATATGAATTGTATGAGCAGTTTCATGGACCTAAAAGGGCAGGGGCAGCTGCAGTAATGAGCCTGCTTGTCAGAAATATATTAATGAAGGAGATAAAAAGATTTAGGGAATGGTGATCTCAGAGCTGGATCCCATACAGCTAGCTTATTGTCTGTGCTTACAAAGACAGTCAGATTCCGGAGTTCAGTTCCTATGTTTAAAAATGCATGTGCTGTCTTTTCTAAGAATCAAGGGACAAAGGTTATAAAATGTTGATTTGTGGTATAATCAAAAGGAAACCTGGGGTGGGCGATTGAATTGATATGTAAATAAAAAACTGGGCTTTGGTCTGCGAGAGATAAGCTATCCAGAGAGTTTTTTGATTTTTTTTTTCTAGCAAGAGGTAACTGTCTCAACCAGAGAATTGTCTGGAGAGACATCTCAAGCAGAACACAGAGATGTCAGCTTGTACCTACAGTTGAGTTTGGGTCATTCTTTTGATGCTCCCAAACACCCCTTCCTCCGGAAACCCTCTCCAAGCCATGGCTGATTCTTGGCATTCATTCAAACCTGCACAGATAACCTGAACTTATATTAGATAGAGAGAATCAACTACCAAAATTTGTCCTTTGACCTCTACATGTATGCAGAGGCATGCATGCATGTTTGGCCTCATTTGTACATGTGTGTAGATGCATACATTTAAAAGTCAATTCCCTAGACCCTGTTATGGTTCACTAAACTCTCATCAGTGCTGTTTAGGGAATAAAGTAAATAAAAAGCAGAAAGGCATGGAAAATCTGGTGTTAAGAATGGGCTCATTCAAATTCCAGTGATTCCAGTTCTTGTCCATGTAACCATGAAAGTTTCTTAAGTTCTGAATTTTACTTTTCTTGTATGCAGAATGAGGAATAATTTATTTACTTTGGAATTAAGTTTTGGCTCCACCAAGAACTAGATATAAGCATCTGGGATATTAACTCCCTGTGGGAAGGCCTTCACTTTGGTGCTAACCTAAGTTTTAAAATTTTTTCAATACCACCCTGCAATGATTATCCTGCTATGACTGGTACTTAACGGCTATGAATAGTATGACAAAAAGAATGGGCCAATGTTTAATCACTCAAATTACTGAAAAATAACTTGAAAAGTGTGCCCTAGAGATGATATAGGAATCACATACATTTATTTGTACAGATATTTTGAACTGAATTATATCCTTCAAAATTCATATATTGAAATCCTAGCCACTGGTATATTTCAGAATATAATTAGTTTCAAACTGAGGGCCTTTAATTAAGGAGGTGTGGTGGCTTAAATATGCTTTGCTCAGAAGGTAGCACTTTTAGGAAGTGTGGCCTTGTTGAAGGAGTGTGTCACTATGGGGGTGGGCTTTGAGACTCTCCTCTTATCTACCTGGAATCAGCCTTCTCCTAACTGCCTTTGGATCAAGATGTAGAACTCTTGTCTCCTTCTCCAGCACTGCGTCTGCCTGGATGCTGCCATGCTTCCTACCGTGATGATAACAGACTGAATTTCTGAACCTGTAAGACAGCCCCAATAAAATGTTGTCTCTTATAAGAGTTGCTTTGGTCACAATGTCTCTTCTCAGCAATGGAAACTAACTAAGACAGGAGACAATAATGATTGAGTGGGGTCATATGGTCAGACCTAATCTGACTGCTGTCCTCATAAACAAAGGGGCATCCTGGGAAGCTGAGTGTATAAAGAAGAGATCCTATGAAGACACAGAAGACTGATGTTTGCAATGAAGAGACCGCAGGAAGAGATAAGCCTATTGATACCTTCATATATCCTTCAGGATTGCATCAAAACCAGACTCTATCTTTTTGAACAAATTGTGCCATTTTGCTACAATAGCCATAGAAAACTAAATTAAATGTTGTTTTGTATTTCTGTTAGGCTGCTATTTTGCAGAAATCATGGAGAAGTTCTTATAATGGTATGCTGTTCCATAACTATGATTAAATAAGCATACTCTAAAAGAATATTGGCTTTATTTCTACCCAGGAAAAGAATACTTTTCTATATTATTGTCAAAATTGTTTTCCTAAAAATTTGGTTCTATTTTATTACTTTTTAGAACTCAGTGGTTCACCATTCTTTCTAGATAAGGCCTAAAATGTATAGTTTGATGTAACAATAGAAAAAGAACATTTTTCTCAGGGCTTCATTACATTTAATAGAAAGACAGAACTAATAATTTGTGAAACTGTCATTGTTACCATAGTGATGGACTATCAAATTTGTCATTCTGAAATATATCTGACAAAAGAATCAAATCACATAAACGTTAGACTTCATCATTTATAAAATGTTGCAGATTTGTAGTAATAGGAAATAATGATGTTTAATATTTAGTTTAGGCCTACTGTGTGCCAGGCTTGGTGCAGTTTCAGGGGATACAGAGATAATAACCAGTGCTTTAAAGCCCTCCGCACCACGGCTTCCTCAGTAGGTTGGAATCATCTGAAGTTGAAGACTAATCGGTGATAATTACACATTGACAATTCTAGTATACAAAATAATGAACTCCTCATGTAACCAGACAGACAGAGTTTTAACATGGTTGTATAAGTGATGAGAACAAAGGACGATATGAACTTTCAGGGAAGGCTTTGACACGTTATGTCAAGTGCTTGAACTGTAAAATATTTTTACATAGTAATTCATTTTTTAAAGACTTACTTTTTTGTGGTTATTTTGTGTTGTTTTAAGATTTACTTATTTATTTCATATATGTGAGTACACCGTTGCTGTCTTCAGACACACCAGAAGAGGGCATCGGATCCTCATTACAGAAGATTGTGAGCCACCATGTGGTTGCTGGGAATTGAATTGAGCTCAGGACCTTTGGAAGAACAGTCAGTGCTCTTAACCACTGAGCCATCTTTGCAGCCCTAGTTATTCATTTTTAAAGCATATTCTGTGGGTTTGAATGAAAACAGCCCTTATAGGCCCACAGGGAGTGGCACTATTGGGGGTGTGGTCTTGTTGGAGTAGGTGTGGTCTTGTTGGAGGTTTCAGATGCTGAAGCCAGGCTCAGCATCACTCTCTGTTCCTGTTGCCTGCTGATCCAGGTATAGAACTCTGAGGTACCTTCCTCTTCAGCTCCATGTCTGCCTGCATGTTGCCATACTTCTCACCATGACAATAGTGAACTAAATTTCT